GATAAACGTTTCATTCGTTCATGTTCTTAAGCATAGATATAAGAACAATTGTAGATATGAAATGGTAACAAAAAATGACAATGTTTTGTTTTACCTAGTGTCTACAGTCAACGACAGAAATCCCCTAACTATATGTTAGGCTATATGTTTGTTTAATCAATACTAATCTTTTTTCTGATCTTCATACTGAATGAAATTTTTGTAAGTTTACTGGAAACCTAATAACACCGGAGACTGTAACATTAGTTAAACCAAACTCGTAAAAAAACAAAACATTAATATTCGTAAGGCTAGAAAATCGGTCAAGATCAACTTCCAAAAGCTTGGAATTTAGTCAAACTAAAATTTTAAAACAAAAAGAGATAATTCTGAGGGGTTCGCGAGAAAAATTTGGTAATGGCGTCTTTTTTCACTTTCCTGTTTCTACAGTTCTTACCAGTCTTTCTAATTTTTGAAATATTTACAGAAGGAAATAGATTGATGCAGAGCCAGATTTAAGAATATGCCTCTCTTCTGTTGAACCAAACTTTAAAGCACTGTGTTCTTCAAAACAGTATCAGAAGTCTCATTATTTTTAGTTTAAATGGTTTTGTTTTCAGTTTTTAATTATATTTAAATTTCCTAGGTACGAACTGTAAACTGATGACAATATCGGAGATTCAGATTTTATTGTAAACGTGTTACATCTTTTGCGTTAGAGAAACTTTTTATTTTCAAAAGTTTTTACGTTCAAAAGTTATTTTATTTTACAATTTTTTTTTACTGCTTAAAAGGGATTCGGTGCGAGAACTATTATTACTCAAGGGGTTTGCGAATAGAAAAAGACTAGGAACCGCTGCGTTTGTTTTAACATGATTGGTCTGCTTTGTTTTATTCAATTTCAAGGACACAGTCACGTTATCACCGGAAATCTATCACAGGTCATGCAGTTACACGTAATCTAACACAAAAACACACTCAATTTATTAAGGAACCAATTCTAGAAGTGGTAGTATTTCTAACATCTAGTGTGTGTGTGTTCTGAATTTTATTTCTTCTTCTGAACGTAAGAGTAATGCAGTAAAAACAGTTTTACTGGGACAGAACTAATTGATGCAGTTTTCTTTGTATTGTATCAATAATTTATAAAACTATGATCAAAATATTGATATATTTGAAAATGTAATAGCAGCTGCTAAACGAGAGTTCTATCTAAGCTTGGTTAACCTTTTTTTTCTTCTAATAGATGGCGTATTTATCAGTAAAAGGAAAAATTTCCAAAACTGATTAGAAACCAGCCTAAGAT